TCTTGGAATTCTCTCCATTCAAGCAATACACACTGACATATGCCTACTCAGATTCAAAGATCAGAGATGAAGCGCCTATTCCCTGCCCCCAGGGATCCGTAATCTGGTATGGAAATGGATATTTGCAGTTCAACTTTGGCAACACACATGCTGAAAAGTGGGGGAGTTACCCTACAAGACAAAGAGGCAGAGTCCTCCAAATTACTAGGACTCTCACACTCAAGAAAGACTTCAACTGTTGCATTAAATGAAATTAAAATGGAGGTGGGGCATAGCTTAGTGGTAGAGCAAGTGCTTAGTATGGCCAAGGCACTGAGTTTGATCCCAGGCATCAAAAAAAATTAATCAACCTGATAGCATGATGACAATACTGAGAAATTTCTATGAGTTAAGCAAAATGCTGTCTTTTGCTGATATTAACTTATTGACCTCTCACCCCAACTATTAGACACTCCCCATAGAGGTGGAAAAAAGAACAGCTAGTACTTGTCAGATGTACTCTTTGAACCCTCAACCCTTTCCTTAATCAATGTTGCTACAAAGTTGGAACACACATTGGTATGGCTGCTTCTTTAGGAAGAGACAAAAAACTTATTAAAGATCCAAAGATGTGAGATTTGAGCTGAGTTTTGAAGAATAAATAGGGTTTTCCCAATCTGTCAAGGGGTATTCAGGAAGTGAAGGCCCTTCTTCAATAAGTGGAACAAAGCCAGAGTTTTGTGGAAGATGGATAATCAAGAGGAAAAAAAGAAACAGACGGCTTGAATTGAACATTTGCTATGTGGCATACTGTTCTAAAATCTTTCATTCACTGAACACTTTCAGACATTATGAAATAGGTATCATGATTACCCTCAGTTAGGGAGACCAAAGCTCAGAGGGACTGAGAAATTTACCCACAGTTATTCACACAATCACAATAAATTCTTAGCAGGTGTGGTGCCCACACCTATATTCCCAGCTCTTGGCAGGCTGAGGCAGGAAGGTCATGAGTTTGAAGCCAGCCTAGGTACATTGCAAATTCAAGCCCGATCTGGACTACATATGGTAAGACCCTGTCTCAAAAGATTTGTGAGGGACTTTCTCTCTTTGGGAGCTATAACACTCTTCTCCTCCTATCCTTGGACATCAAACTTCCAGGTTCTTTGTACTTAAGACAACCCCCACCCCTCCCCAGGTTCTTAAGCCTTTGGCCTCAGACTGAGAGTTACACCATTGGTTCCCTGATGCTGAGGATTTCAAACTTGGAGTCACATCACCAGGCTAGCATGTGTAGCCATACAACAACATCCAGAGCTGGCATTGTATTAGTCAGCTTTGAGATATCATAATGAAATAACTGAGGCAATGAACTTATAAAGATTTTGATTTTAGCTCACAGTCTAGAGGTTCTAGCCCAAGATTCAATGGCTCCATCACTTTGGGCCTCTCAGGAAAGCAGCACGTCGTGGCAGGAGGATGATAGTGAAGCAAAACACATCACAGCCAGGAAGCAAAACAAGACTCAGAGACCAGGGTCCTACAGTCCTCTCCAAGGGCACACCTCCAGTGACCACAGACTTCCCAGAGCCCCATCTAGTAAAGGTCCACAGCACCTCCCAGTACTGCCACCCTGGAGACCTGTCCCTTAACACATGAACCTTTGGGCGACACTACTCATATTCAAACCATGGCAAGCTTTCACCACCCTAACGAAATAATTATACTTAGTTACCCCTGACTTGATACAATAACCTCTTCTTGTATTGTTGCCAAAAAATGATAAAAAATATCGGAGAAATTGAAAAAAGGAGGACTTTATAAGACAATTGATCCAGCCTCTTTTAAAAGCCTATCAGTAGGGCCAGGGATTTAGCTCAACGGTTTCGCCGCCTGCTGCGCAAGTGCAAGGACCCGGGTTCGATCCCCAGTACCAAAAAAAAAAGCCTATCAGTAGGCCAGGGATATAACTTAGTAGTAGAACACTTGCTGAGCATGTGTGAAGCCCTGGGTTCAATACCTAACATACACACACACACACACACACACACACACACAAGCCATGGCAGAAATGGGTAGCTGGCCATCCACTTGCCCCATCCTTTCACCCAGATTTTGCCCCAGCCATGCCAACTGAAAACTAAATGAATAAATAATAAAGTTATGGTGTAAAATCCAGAATAGAGACCAGGGGATTTGTGTACCTTAAAAGACTGAAATGGGCTGAGAGTACAGCTCAGTGGTAGAGTGTTGGTTTCTCTTGAGGGAAACCAGAGACCCTAGAAAGCACTGACTTTTAAAGAAAGAAAAGGAGACAGCCTGGGGGACGAACAGAAGTTTAATTCCTCTGGCACTATTCGACAATCACAAAGGAAAGAAGCAAGGCTTTTATACATGTAGGAAAGCAGCTTAGTTATTCTGGCTATTGTCTTTCTGATTTTCACCTCTGATGATAACCAGTGACTTTAAGTGACTCACAAAAGCTACAGGAGAATTCACAAGTGCCCTGTTTCCATTCTCCAATCCTGTACATCAAAGAGCACACCGCAGCCCTCTTCTTATCAGATTGTATCAAGAGAGCAGGATGACTTTTAGCCAAAAATCATGCCCACTGGCCCACCATAAACATCACAGATGTACATAGTAAGTCGTATCTCTCTTACCACCCGTAGATTCATTGGGTCGCGGTCCTCTGATCCCAGAAAATGGTAATTAAGAAAACTAGGAAAACCTGTTTTTCTCCTGTGAGACTTTTACAAGGTCTCAAAGTTTTCTGGCATTCTTTTAACAAACAGACTTGTGGAATTTCCCAGAAACGACTTAATTCTCTTAGTTAAAAAACTTCTTGTGACCTATTCTTACAACTAGATAGCTGAATTCTACCATTTCCCACAGTAGAGGACTTGCCTAGCAGGCCCTGGGTGGGTGGGGAGCCTAAAGTGGCATAAAATGCAGTCCACATGAATCTTAATAGGAGCTTAGCGTTCTTTTTTAAAAGTGCATTAAAGAAATTTGGGGAGCAAGTAGGGAAAATTGAATGTGACCTATAGTTTGGATACTACTAAAGTATTAATGGGGGTGATAATGGTATTGTTGTTAAGAAGAGGAGTGATCTTATTTTTAAGAGATGCATGAAGTATTTAGGGGTGAAATCAAGATGTCTGTAACTTACTTTCAAGTGGTTCCTGAAAAACACAGACACAACTGCAGCAAAAGGCTATCGGTGAAGCTAAGTGAAGAGTATATTCATGTTAATTGCAACTGTTTAATTTTCCTGTAGGTCTTCAAGTTTTCAAGATAAAAGGTAGATTTTTCAGCAGGGGGAAAGGGGCTAGAGAAGACTTTGGGAATGAATAAGAACGCTCTAAAGTTATGGTGGGAAGGCGACACTCCTCAGCAGTGCTATGTTGTGTGTCATAGCCACACCCCAGATGGGAGAAGATTCTGTCCTGAGGCCCCAGCAGGCCCAACAGACTCAAGACCCCACCCAGCTTAGCTCCTTTTATTCCCCTCTTAATTTCTCTTCCCTATTTTCTTTATCTAACTTCATCTGCTACCTTTTAACTTTTTCTATTTTACTGTCACTTGGGATTACTCCACCAAAAACCTGAAATCATGGAAAAAATATGAATTTTTGGAACTATGCAAGTGTGATTTTAAATCCTGACCCGCTCATTAGCTATACTCCTTAGAATGTCACTAAACCTCACAAAGTTTTGGTTTTCACACTTTTTAAAAGTTACCACTTCCTACTTTGAAAATATATACTATTCAATGAGCCAATGTATTCATTTTAAATGTATTAATTTAAATAATGTATTCATTATCTTTTACCAAAAGCCAGAAAGAGTTGTGAGCACTGGAGTGATCAAAAGGGTTCTGAATTCTCTGACTTGACTTCAGTCACCATCCTCACTTAACAAAAGAGGAAAGCCAGGCATGGAGGGGTCTTGCCTACAAAGCTAACAAATGTCAACCTATTCCAAGACCAAACTTTATACTCCATGCCAAACACAGAGGCAAACAAAATCCAGCATTTCATGGAACTTTCATTCCAGAGGAAAGTGCAGTCTGGAAAACTGCGGGCAGTTTATGATAGACAAATATTAATTCCTATTTCCTTACTTCAATCCCATAGCAAAAAGGAGAATCATCTAAAGGTGAAGAATCAATCTGGCTGCTATCCTCTTTCAACTCCTTCCCTCATTAACATTGTTAAATGTTTATTAATGTTCCCTTGTTAACTCCTAAATAAAGAACACTCACAGCAGGGAGTACTTGTGTTTTGGGTTTTGGTTTTTTGTATGGTCAAACCTAGGGTCTTGTACACGCTAGGCAACTGCTCCACCACTAAGCTCCAGCCCTAGCCAGGGAACACTTGTACTGTGACAGACATGGTCACAACCTCCAGGTCTTTCTCCTACTTGGGCCTCTGAACCCCCTAGCCATGTGCAGCATTCCTGATTCAGAAGGTCAGAGAATTTGCATTTCCAACAAGTTCCCTGATGATGCTGATGCAGCAGGACACTGCACATGAAAACCATTGTCAGAACAACTCCACAAACAGGTAGCTGTGTTCCTATTGCGAACACAAAGCTGACCCTCAGGAAGGCTGAGTGCTGCAGCACTAGCAAATGACAGAAGCAGGACTGAACCTATTTTGATTCCAAAGCCCGTGCTATTTCTTCAACATCTGAGTCAGAGATGTAACATTCTGGGATTTCCCCATCATGTGTCTATTCCTTTTATTTTCAAATTTCTGTCCTTTTAAAAGGAGTCACAGTTGTGTGTATTTTCATCTCCAAGAACAGGAGATGGTTTGTAAAAGCTGTTTTAAAAGTTCCTGTCCATTTGCCCAGTGATTCCTCTTCTAGACAACTGTATCATGAGAACGATTCAGAACATGGCCTAAAACACAAAGATGTTAAGTACTTCAGCAAAACACTAGTAATCTAAATGCCCAGTACAAAGGGACTAGTTAAAATTATGGTATATCTAAATGATGGAATATCACAAAGCCATTAAAAAATTATTTAGAACTTTTATAACATGTCAAAGTATTTATCACATACAGCCATACTTTGTTACTCCTGGGCTTCAAACCCAGTACTGTCACATTTTAACGGGAAAAAAGTTTCAGGCCTCAGCACTTGTGTCAGTCTCACAGTATTTCTCGAATAGTGCAGAAAACACCACACACTTGTCATTACTGTCTTATACTTCTGTGCATTTTAAGTACTAATCACGGGCTCCAAAAAGGTTACGAATGATACCACTAAGCCTAAAAGGTTCATATTAGCCCAGTAAAATATGAAGGTCCTGGGGAACTTCCATAAATTATTTCTGACTACATTACTTCTTATGGGAAAACTGCATTTCAGTACTCATCAGTTTGAGGTATGACTGTAATACTCAATAAGGCAGAGCACAGACCTAAACTCAGTAAGCTCTCAAATTATTAAAAATACTAAAAAAGTGACAATGTTGACAAAAGTAGTTTCTGCTTCTAATAATTTCGTATACTGTCCACACTTTCTTCAATGAGCTTCCTTAGTGAGAAGAACCACGCCCTTTCTTCTTCTTGATTAAACACAACACATCATTTTCTTCTACAGGTAGTCAATTCCTGAACAGCCAAGAAAACAAAACTATGAATTTTAAAGCTAATATTTAATTCCAGATTGTATTTTCCCTGATAGTAGGCTGTACATTGTAAGTAAGAAACTAAAGGAAAAAACTTGAATGACAACCATTATTATAAATATACATTTTTTTAAAAGCTAGAGATACCTACAAAAGTGTAACAGGGACTTATGTTGGTTAGCGAAATGGCTTTTTAAAATCTCTTTTCCTTAACAATTTTTATTTCATGCTCTACAATGAATGTCTATTATTTCTGTAATAAAAAAAAAGTATTTGCTATCTAAGACACTCATCAAGCAAATTACAGTATATCTATTCAATGGAATCTCAACAGCTGTTTAAAAAGTTACAAAATATTTAATATTAAAAAATATGTTAGCTGACCATACTATAAAACAGTATGTTCAGAATGATCCCTCTGCTTTGTTTAAAAACAAGCAAAATGTCTATGTGTACACAGAAAACATCTCGGTAGGAAATATACTAAAACATTAGTGTTTTACTCTAAGTGATAGGATTACAAATTATTCTCATTTTTTATTTTGGCCTCTGCATTTTGGTCAATTTTCTTCTATACAGTATGACTTATTTTTCCAGCATGCAAAAAAAAATTCTTTTTAAAAAAATCTAGATTAGACACTAAGTTACCTTGTTAAATAACAGAGAGACAGAAACTGGCAACAGCTCCTTTCTAAAACATCCTCCTTCAACAAGCTTTCCAGCTCCAGCCCAGATACAATGTTTGGGTCAATAAAATACTGGCCACACAGAGTATCACAACAGCAGTCAGCATAAATCCTTCCTCTCCATCTGGGCTTAGCAGTGCTGGGGCAAGCCATCCACTCCAGCAGCAGAGGTCACCCTTCCTGACAAGGCAACCATACATCTCGGGAACTTTTTTTTTTTTTTTTTTTTTTTTTGCAGTACTGGGGACCAAATCACAGTGTCACACATGCTAGGCCAGCACTCTACTGCTGAGCTACATTCCTGGCTTTACATGGAACCTTCAAACAAGATCCTGGGGAAGAAGAGGGTCTAAGGAAAACATTCAACTGCTTTATAGGGCTATGGATCTGATTACAAGTAAATATAAATTATAATCATTTGATTAGGGAAATGCATGATTTGCATTGCAAATAACACACTGAACAGAAAATTCTATTCTTAGACCTGGCAGAGACCTCTGAGTTCATCATAAGACAATTTCCAGGACACTGTTTTTAGGATGCCACGTAAATACTGACTGGAAACAATAACAGAGATGTCATGCTGGAGAATCTTAAGTAAACAGCTCAAAAGCCTGGCTTCCTGTTTATATAATTTTAAGTCATTTTATTGCTAGCCAAAAGGTGATTTAGCACTCTGATTTACTCTAAGAATGTCTTTACTATTCACATAATAAAGGAGACTACAAAGAACAGCTGAAAAGCCAGAGGCATAAGAAGGAACAAAAATAAACAGACATGTCTTCTAGACCAAACGGTGAGAAATCTGTGCGACAAGACCATCGGTTCAATCTATTTCCAGATCGCTGTCCTCACTGTGACAGGTGGCAGAGTTACGCACAGACGTTAGCACCAAGACTTCCTTTTCTGGCAGTAATCCAAATTCCTGTAGAAAAGCTTCAAGGTCCACAGCAAAGAAATCTTCCCCCAGTTGGTCAGTGACACGAACAAAATTGCCGACCAATTCACCTCCTTTGTAGATCAGCAGGGCAGGGAGGGCATTCCGGGTAAACCGACTGCTGGCCCCAATAACTGAGCTCTTCACCCTGCAGAATTTGACAGCCGGGTACTCTGCAGCAAGGCAGATCATACAGCCGTGCATGGCTTCAGTTCCTGGAATGCCATCCTCATAAATATGGACCATGATGAGGGTGCTCTTCTGTTCTTTATCAATCATGTCTAAAAACCCTTCTCCACTAGGGATTTCAAAAACCTGCTTGAACTGGGGTCCCTTGTGTAACTGCTGCCGCATCTCTTCCATCCTCTGCTTCCGGTACTGCTGCAGAAACTCCTCATCATCTCGGTCCTCGTTCATCATGGCAAACTCCTTCAGAGTCATCTGCAAGAGGATCAGCATGTAAGGATAAAGACACACAGTGACCACTCATGACAAAGGCAATATGCACCTTGTGCTTATGACACATTAGGCACACGCTAAGTGCTTTGTGCACATTATCTTTGTTTTTTAGAGATGAGGTCAGGGATGGGAATGCAGTTCAGTGGCAAAGCATTTACTTAGCACACACATGGGCCTAGGATCGATCCTTGGTACTGCATCAAAAAAGGAAAAAAAGAGTGTGAGAAGGGCCGGGAATTTAGCTCAGTGGTTTCGCCGCCTGTTGCGCAAGCACAAGGACCAGAGTTTGATCCTCGGTACCAAAAAAAAAAAAAAAAAAAAGTAGGTAGCATAAGATATCTTTTCATTGAGCTATTTCTTTTTGTTTTGACAGTATTATTTATTCGCCACCTCCGCTGCTGCCACTGCTGCTGCTATTGTTGTTGTTGTTGTTGCTGCTGCTGCTGCTGAAAAGACAACAGGAACCCAGGCTTGGTGGCACAGGGCTACAATTCCAGCACTCTGGAGGCCAAACCAGAACCCCAATTTCAAGCCCAGTCTGGGCAACTTAAGTGACTCAGTGAGATCCTGCCTTAAGATTAAAGAAAAAGAATGTGAGGGCAATCTGGATGTAACATGTTACCCCATTGATGGCCAGGGTTGATTCAGCTGTATGGCTGGTAGGCAGGTGTCCCCTTCCTCCCTCACTGCTCCAGGCGCGACCCTCCCTAAGCTTCGAGCACAGTTAAAGAGGATGACCACTGTTTCCTTGGTCAAGGGTTTACAAGTAGCTGTGCTCCCCTGCTAGAACCTCCAAACAAGCTCTCAAGATTTAAAAACTAAAAGGAGAATGGGAGTTGGGATATAGCTCAGTGCAAAGGCCCAAGATTTAATCCCCAGTACCAAAACAACAAACAAACAAACAAAGACAACAGGATATTAAGGAACTTCAAAAATTACACTCATAATCCTTTCCCTACATACAACATATTCATGGTCATGTACACTCTAAAAATTCATTTTTCTTTTTATTACCAGTCACATGCTGAAATAGTTTTGCTTTCATAGCAGCAGCTGTGACTATACCAACTCAGTTAAAACCCATTTTGCTTCTTAGCTCATGTTAATAATAATTTCCAGATATTTCTTATGTTTCCAAGTAGTTTCATAAAATTACATATAAATACGCTGTATTTTGGTTAACCACTCCCCAATACTCTATTCTGGTCTCTTGCCTCAATATAAGGAAGTGGCTGTGAGTAGCAGGCAAACTGCCCTAGGGCCAGCTTAATTAAGGAAGTTTTCCTTCTTCTGCCTGGTGCACAAAGGTATCCCTGCTCCTGCAATAAACCCTCACTCTGCCTAACTCTGCACACATTAGAGGGTGGTGAGTTGGAGACCACATTGGATTAGAACAGATATTGTTACTGTCGTAATCACCATTCTGACTTCAGTTTCACTTATTACCAATTTTCTTCCCCTCACACAGCTCTCTCTTAGTTTACCACATGGCTCTTTCTAACCTGCTACCATCTTTGCTTTAGTTTCATACAATGAAATCATATCCCTGGTCAAGATGAATGACTCCTGGCTTACTGCTCATATCTGCTCCCTGATCTTGGCTGGTATTCTAGCTTTAGGCCACACCTAACCAATCTGTGGCACTCCTAGACATTCTTCCATGGCCAGAAGACCAGAAGAGTGCTTTTAAAGTAGGGGAAAGTCAGGGACCTGGTTCCAAATATCATCCAGAGTGTCTGCTTCTACTGTAATCACTCCTTATATCTTCCTTAAATCCTCACGAGTAGGCTTCAGATGGAAGAGCATCATAGAAACATCATAGAAAGAACAGAAAAGTGTGAGTTAGAATCTTAGTTCCTACTAGCATTATGATTTGAATCACTCTAAACAAGTCACCTTTTCTCTAAGCATTGCTTTCATCAGGTGTAGAATAGGGATAACCCCACCACCCTCAGAGGGTTATTTCTGGCCTAAAACATGTCGTGGATAAGACAAGAAGCTAACATTCACTGAGCAGTTTCTCAGGGCCAGTCAATGTGACAGGCATTTTATCCACATCGCCCTAGGGGTGTGACATACTGACCTCATTTAACGAATGAAAAACCAGACTCAGGAAGAGATCTTCCCACAGTCACTGGTGGCCGAGCGGAGATTCAAACCTGGGTGTGTCTGAGTTAGGACATGGCTCTCTGCCTTCCTATCCACTACAGTTTTTTAGAAGCCAAATCCAACAACCTGCATCTCCTGAATCACTAAGTCCAGTTCTACCAGCCAGGATGGCTTCTAAGAAAAGCCTCATTGCTGCTGATTACCTTCTCACTAATCTTCTCCTGGAGGTCCTTCTGTTTCTGTTGCTCCTCCTCTTCATCCAAATGGGACCTGCAGGTCATAGACAGCTTCTTGATCAGCCTTTCCATCTCCCGGCACTGCTCCTCCCTCTGTTCTGTCTCCAGCTGCTTGAAGCGGCGCCAGTCATTAATCACACCTTTTGGACCTGTGTGGGGTGAACATGCATGTGACCAAGAATCACCAAGGAATTATGAAGCATTTCACACAGAGGTAGTAGCTCTCATCTGTCTGAAGCTTGCTGTACTTATGCCACAGCTAACACAGAAGCTCCAAGTCCTCTGCCACTGGCAAAGTAGTCTACACGTGATAAGGTTCACTACAGCACAGTCTGCATTAAAGAGCTAATCGAATATCCAATATTAAGTGAGTTAATTATGATCCATCCACTCAAAGGAAAATAAAATAACACTTACAAAGAATGAGGCAGTTCTGTGTTTCCTGCTATGAAAGATACTCCAAATATATTAGTTAAAAAACAAAAAAAAGACAAACTGGGCACAGTGACACGCACTTATACTACTTGGGAAGCTGACGAAAGAGGGCTACTTGAGCCCAACAGTTCAAGGTCAGCCTACGCAACAGAAGGAGCTCTCATCTCTTAAAAAAAAAAAAAAAAAGGACTTTTTAGTATCCATTAGGCTGGCAAAAATCATGTCTAATAACACAATAGGAGGGAGAGGAAAGTGTGTATTGAAATATTATATTGCTGATTAAACTATAAATCAGTGCCACCTCCATTTAGAGTATACACAATATATGTTGAAGTGGTACAGTGCTTACCCAGCATCCCTAGCACCACAAAAAAAAAGTGTGAACATGCCATTTCTAGGAATTCATACTATCAATATCCTCATGCTACTGTTTGTTGAGATATCAAATAACTATTAATTTGAGACACAGGATTCAAACCCAGGCCAATCTGTTCACTGCTCTGCCGTCATGCATAAATATCTGCATTGTGCAGTAAAAAGGCTAGAAGCATACGTAACAAAATGACAACCCTGGGTTATTTCTAGAAGTGGAAGTAAAGTTAGAGAAAAGAGATAAGGTGACTTCTAATTGAAACACACTTAATGAACATTTTTAAAGCCTGTTCCCAAAGCTCCGGGCTTTCCAGTACCTGTATTAACTGAGATGCCTTCGCCTGCCAGCTCAGCCTCTGCAGGCATGGAACTGCTGGCTGGGGCACCCCTGCCTCTGTCCTTGTCTTCGTGGTCACTGTCCTCATCCTCACTGCTACTGTAGTAGTACTGCAGTTTCTCCCCCAGCAACTTGTCATCCAGGGTTGTCATGATACCTGGGAGAGGACAACACATCAGGCTTTTTGCTAGATGGAGCAAGGAAGATAGGAATCTAAAATATAGAGGGCTCATGTGTTAAGATCTACAACTAACAGGAACCTAAAAGTGATTTTTATCATAAGGAGAATTTCAACAAATTCCTACCATGACCTGTGTGAAAGTGTTTATCATGTTCTTTCCACAGAAAGTAAAACTAGAGGTCAGACAAGGGAAGTTTCTTTGCCAAGCTTTCCAGCAAATGGTGGAGCTGGTAAGAGACCCCAGATATACCTGACTCCAGGAGCCTGAGGGGTGAGTTACTGTCTTCTGAATAATGCACAATTATACTAGCACACTGGCTAGGAGGAATCTGCTTCACTGACTGGGGTATTAACTATATTTATGGTTAGTTTTCCTACTAAGATTGCTAATTGAAAAACCGGGTAAGAATTCCCCGGAAAAACTTGAAAAGGGACATTAAAAGAGTTTGATGCTGGGCCTGGGGGCTCAGTGGCAGAGCATCCACCAAGCATGAATGACCCCCTAGGTGTGACCCCCAGCATCACCAAAAAAAAGAAAAAGAAGGCTGGCTAAGCTCATGTCAATCACTCTCATCTGTTTCACTGAGGACTTAGATGGTCTTTGAAGCCTTTCAATTCAGACTGTTTAAAACAAGGCCCCGTGTCATGGTTTTAATAAGAAGCAAATGTTTAAAAGACCCCAGTTAGCATCGGTTTCTGCATCAGAAACAAGGCCATTTGGGGCGGGGGGGGGGGGGTGCACTATAGTACCTTACAAGATTGCGAATCCAGCAGGGATCGCAAAAAAAATTGAAGAAAAACCCTCTAACACCCCCTCCTCTAACCATTCCAACACTGTAATTCCTTCATGAAAGACTCATCACAGGGCCTATTATAGGCCCCCACCAGGCAGGAGCTCTTAAAAGCAGGGCCCTCCAGTTAATTCCCAGCACAATCTGCTAAACCCGGAAAGAGGCAGCCTGCATCAGTTCCTCAATCTGGTGATCCCCGCCCCCCAGCCCCGGCCCCGCACCAATAAGTCAGAAAAGAAGCATAATGTAAAGGAGGCAAAACTAATGGAGAGACACGTGCAAGAGTCAGAGCAAGGCAGAGCCAAATTTAAGCAACACAGAGGTGCCTGGGACTGGATGACCGGACAAAGACGGGAGCAGAAAGCGAACAGAACTAGCACGCTCGACAAGGGCGGGGCCGACAGAGTGGAGCGAGGGTGGGCGGGACCGAGAGCGCTGCGCGCGAGAGGGCGGGGTGGGGCAAGGGAAACTCGCAGAGGCGGTATCCCTGGGAGGGCAGCAAGGAGGTGCTCAGATTCTGAGGAAGATCCTGGGAAGCGAGGGGAGTAGGGGCCAGCAAAATGGGGGCGGTGGGAGTAGCGGAAAAAGGGTAAGGCCCAAAGACAAGGCAGTTTTACCTGGGCTCACCAACCACCCTTCACCCGGAGGCCGTGCCCGCCGCTTCCTCCTGGTTAATCCCTAGGCAGCTTACCCGGGCTGGCTTGGTCCGGATCCCTTTGGACTAGCACCTCCGGCTACCAGAAGGAAAGGACCGCTCACTTACAGGAAGAGAAGTGAGCCAGCGCCCTGAGAGCTAGAGACAAGCTACCGGAGTCCTGACTGTGGGGACCAATGAGGCGGCTTCCTGCGTCGTGGCGGATGCACGCTGCCCAGTTAGGAGCAGCCTCTCACAGAGGAGGAGGGTACGGGTCCTACTTTGGGACAAAATACTTCAACAACGTTCGTGTTGTTTTGCTTCCGAAAAACAAAGGTTGAAGTACCTAGTCCCAACCTTAAACAATAAGACAGATTCATTTACTTCCTTTCAAAATTTCTAAAAACATTCAAAATATGTGTTGTGTTGTTTTGCATTATTGTTCTGCGGATTGAATCCAGGACCTTCATGCTGAAGTACATCCCCAACACTCATTCTTCCTTTCTTTTTCTCTCCTTTTTTCTTTCTTTCTTTCTTGCTTGCTTGCTTGCTTGCTTGCTTTTCTTTCTCTTTCTTCCTCTCTCTTCCCCCCACCCCCTTTCTCTTTTTTGGTGTTTTTGAGATAGCGTCTTGCTCTGTAATTCAGGGTGACCTTGAACTCACTATATAGCCCAGGCTGACCCCGAACTTGGGACAAGCCTCCTGAGTGCTAAGATTACATGCCTGTCCACATCCCCACACCTGGCTCTTATTTTATTTTATTTTATTTAAGAAAGACCTCACTAAGTTGCACAGGCAGACCTCGAAAGTGAGAAACTCCTGCCTCTGCCTTCCAGAGTGCTGGTATTGTTGGACAGTGTGATGTCCAGGGTTTCCGGGCTCTTGTCCGGTGCAAACAATTGAATGGAGACAATTGATGAACATAACAGTTTAATTAATGTAGGAGAGGAAAAGAGATGAGTCCTGCATGAAGGAAGGGCCACTAACAAGAACAAGAGGGCAGTAGCCAAAGGCCTTTCTCTTTTTATCTTCTTTTGACTTCACATCCGGGCTGGTCCCTTCCAATACTCTCTGGCTGCCCTCAATTGATTGCGTTAAATCTGTGTGTCAGTTTTGGAAGTATGGCCATTTTGACCGTATTGTTTCTGTCTATTCAGGAACAGGATATCGGATATCTTTGCATTTTCTAATGTCCTCAATCTCATTTTTCAATGTACTGTCATTTTAGTTACAGAGGTCCTTCACTTCTTTAGGTTAATTCCTAAGTATTACTTATTCTTTTTTTTTTTTTTTTTTTTTTTTTTGAGACATGGTCTCACAATGTAGTTCAGGCTGGTCTTGAACTCTCTATGCAGCCCAAACTGTCCTTGAACTCACAGCAATCCTCCTGCCTCAGCCTCCCCAGTACTGGGATTATAGGTGTGCACCACCACACCTAGAAATATTTATTCTTGAAGCTATTGTGAATAGTACTGTTTTCCTAATTTCTTTCTTGGTGAGTTCATTATTGGTATACAGGAATGTAATTGATTTTTTTGTTTTGTTTTGTTGGTTTTTGGATTTTTGACACAGGGTCTCATGATGTAGTTCAGGCTGGCCTTAAACTCACTATGTAGCACAGGCTGCCCTTGAACTCACTATGAAGCACAGGTGACCTTCCTGCCTCAGCCTCTAGAAACCTGGGATTACAAGTGTGTGACACCACACCCAGCTGTAATTGATTTTTGTGTATTGATTTTGTATCCCGCTACTTTGTTGAATTGTTTATTAGTTCTACAAGTCTCCTGGTGAAATTTTTTGAGTCTTCTGTGTAAAAGATCACATCATCTGCAGATAATGATAATCTGACTTCTTCTTTTCCTATGCATAGTTCTTTTATTTCTCTCTCTTGCCTGATTGCTCTGCATCCATGTCTTGTTCTTGATTTTAAATGGAAAGGTTTCCGTTTTTCTCTGATTCTCTTTGAAGTTGACATTAGGCTTGTGTAAAAAAAAAAAAAAAAGGCCTTTACCACTTATTTTCTTCGAGATTTTTGTTGTTGTTGTTGTTTCCTTCAGTACTGGGAGGACCTTGTGCTTGCCAGACAGGCACTGCGCCACCAGGCTATATCCTGGCCCTGGGTTTGTTTTTTATCGTGAATGGATGTTGAATTTTTTCAAAGGCTTTTTCTGCATCGATTGAGATTAGAAGATACTGTCCTTGCTTCTGTTATATGCTATGTTACATTTATTGATTTGCATATGTTGGACCATCCTTGCATCCCTGAGATGAAGCCTTCTTGGTCATGATGTATGATCTTTTTGATGGTTTGTTGCATTCTGTTTGCCAGTGTCTTGTTGAGGATTTTTGTGTCTATGCTCGTTAAAGAGATTGTTTTCTTTTTATGTTGGGTCCTTGTCTGGTTTTGGAATCAGGAGAATACTAGCTTCTAGGAATGAGTTTGGAAGTACTCCTTCCCTTTCAATTTCATTAAAGAGTTTGAGGCTTACTGATGTAAATATTCCCTGAAGTCCCTGTAGAATTCAGCAGCAAAGCCATCAGGTCCTAGGCTTTGGTTACTTGGTAAGTTTTTATTACTACCTCTATGTCATTGCCTGTTATTGGACTATTCGAGGTTTTATATCTTCTTAGTCTGGTTTTGGCAGTTGCTATGTGTCTAGGAATCTGTCCATTTCTTCTAGATTTTCCCATTTGTTGGAGTACAAGTTGTCATAGTACTCACTAATAATCCTCTGGATTTCAGTGGTTTCTGCTGTGATTTCACCTTTTTCATTTGTAATTACATTTCCTCTATGTGGGTCTTTTCTTTGCCAGGTCTCTCCTGAGAGTTTGGGGAGCTTGTTGCTCTCTGATGATGTTATCAGTATAATTATAGTCAAGAAAACTCCACACTCTAATTCTTGGGTCTGTGAATATTATTGAAGCTGCTAAATATGCTCTTAGCATAGGCAAGTCTGTCTGAAGCTAATGAATGGGTTAATTCATTTTAGCACTAGCAAGTCTGTCTTTCACTGTTTTTGTTTTGCTTTGCTCCCCCATGCATCATTCTCCAAATAATTAACTAATAATGTCAGCCTTGCCTGAAAAGAAGAATAAAGGAAAATATCAAAGAAAAATACCACTCACATGATCTCATAATCAGTCACCTTCCATTAGGTTTACAGGACCAAGGAATGTCTAGAATGCCTGGTGACCTGTGGACAACATTGAAACCACATCAAGAAGATTGATTACCACAAAAATGAATGACCACCCTGGTATCCACTTGGCTACAGCTAAAATTAGACTCCTGAGAAACCCCACATAAGCTTTGTGCCTATGACCCTGGCAAGGTAGAATTTGAATAAAATCCTCCATCCTCCAACTTGCCAGCTTATTGCCAATAAAGCTCTTTCTTTTCTTGTCCTTCTGCTTTCATGAATTATTGGCTTCATTGGGCAGCAGTGGAACAGGACCTTTTACGGTTACATAAGATAACCCACCATTAACTATGTTCCCTTACCTGGCAGAAGGTATTTTGCAGATGTAAAGTTATGAATCAGATGACTTTAATATATGGAAATACCTAGATTATCAAAATGGGCCAAATGCAGTCAAATGTACTTTTTTTTTTCCAAGTGAACTTTTGAAAGCAGAATGCTTTTCTTACCTGGCTAGTGACAAAAGTCAAAAAGATTTGGAGCATGCCAGGGATTTAACATACTGTTTGTTGCCAATTTGAATATGGAAGTGAGCCATGTGAAAAGGAATGTGGACAGCGGCTATAAACAAAGAATATCAAATCTGACAGCTAGCTAGCAAGAAGATTGGGATTTCAGATTTACAACCACAAGGAACTGAGTTCTGGTAAAAAACAAAATGAAGGGCCAGGGATTTAGCTCAATGGCACCACACCTGCCTCATAACCACAAGGTCCTGAGTTCAATCCCTGGTACCGGGGCGGGGATGAAGCTTAGTGTGGCGGTGGTGCACACCTATAATCCCAGCACTTGGGTGACTGAAGCAGGAGGATTGCTGAGTTTAAGGTCACCCTGAACTACATAGCAAGACCTGTCTCAAAATCTCAATCAATAAGTAAATAAATGACCAGCATGAGTATGGAAGAAGATGTTCCTCAGAAAGGAATGCAGTCTTGTTACCACCTTGATTTGAGCCCTAATCAGCGAACCCAAGTGAGTGGTGCTGTGCCCAGACTTCTGAACTATAGAATTGTGAAATAATAAATTTGTGTTGGTTTAAATTCTAAATTTGTGTTTGTTATGGCAGCAAAAGAAAACTAATATTGTACAGATGAGTTCAGAAAAAAAAGTCATTAGCCTGGTTAGCCTGGTTCTTTTTCATTGCAATGGTGAGAATAATGTTCTTTCTGGTTTTCTATATTCCAGGATGAAAACTAGAAGTCTTTGTCCCAGGTCATCTTTATTTTCTGACATAGGGTTTCACTATGTTGCTCAGGCTGGTCTCAAACCCCTGGGCTCAAGTGATCTATCTACTTTTGTAGACTATTTAGTCAGACTTAAGGTTAGTCAGTAAGATTGGATATCAAGATTGTATGATCTTAAGCACATTTATACTTGGAAGTAATTATTAATCCATATATATTCTTGAGCTTATAAATAATTTTTGTATATGTAGTTAAGAATACCTATTATTTCTAGCACTGTTGTAATACTGACATTCCTTAGAGCTGCTTTTACTATATTCAGGTTCCTGCTCGTATGTTATAGAGAAATATATTCAGTAATCTCCTTGTTAGGAATGTACTGTATCTTGCATCTGTCAGGAATATGACCTTGCACATGAGGTAGTTACCGAACAGTACCCAGTAGAGTCACCCACTTGATCTTCCTAGAATTTTGGGATGATGTGAACAGTTAAGTTTCTGCTTAATGAGAGTACCATGTATAATGTATAGCTTTAAAAGTGTTTTATTTACACTATAAGGTTTTTATCAGTAGAGCATGGTAAAACTATTTGATAGTGAGAAAATATAATCAATAAACTGCTTGTGATTGTTGGAGAGTTTATCTTTTACCAAAGGAAATTTTTTTTGTCCTAGGAATCAAACCCAACCATGCTGCATCACTAATGTTATATCCCCAGTCCTTATTTTTTATTTTGAGACAGGTCTTGCTAAATAGCCCTGTTTGGCCTTGAACTTGTGGTCCTC